AAATCTTCTATTGCCCAGGTGGTCAAAACGGTACGGCTAACGGATCGTAAACGTCCTGTTAATTTTTTGGATTTCCTTGAATCATGGTTGACTGGTCTCAGGAGTTTGATACTAGCTCTATGATAGGTCCATTGACTAAGGCTACTTCCTCCAGACAAGCTTCGATGCCTTATATACTGAAAAAGAGAAAAAATTTCGAATTTATTCGACGAAACCATTTCATTTATACTATTATCGTTGCCAAAATACAGTGCACGTTGCTATTTTTTTGGTAACTCAATAACAACGTAAGATAGAACGTTACGGTTTTCAGCCATTAAAAGCAGACACCCTGAAGCTAGTTTTCCACAAGCAAAAACGATCTTTAAAAAAGTATGAAACCGATTTTTGAGGAGATCTTTTAAAAACCACTCCAAATCTCTAAAAACTATCATATAAATCTATCGATTTGTTGCCATAGATATATAGTAAAACGTGTCCTCTACAAAACTGGATCTAAGCGACAGCTTGAAAAAATTCTATGAGGAAATACTCTATGTTATCTGCAGTATACCATAAAGCTCAATAAATGTTGAAAGAATCAACAGAAAAGACTCTAGTTTTTAAAAAGGTTTCCCAGAAACCTTCGGAACTAATAGAATATTTTTTTATTGATTTTACGTACAGAATCAGAATGAGCGAATAAAACAGCGTATTTCCTGACATTCTGCAGTAGATTGGATGGATTTTGACTGAGTTATGACTTTTTAATATTTGATGAAAATAATCAAAAATGGGTTCTTTCACCTAGTATGGGTTTTCTCTCGGTTCTTGCCTTTTGTTCTAAAAACTAACGTTGCAACGAGATTCAGCATAGCCGATAATCTATGGTTCCAAGCATCTTTACCGATCCTAAATCTAACAGAATAAGAGTTACGCTGGCTTGGAGAAAAGATCTTGAGACCGAACCATGAATTTTCAAGATGTCGTTTAGATCCAGTTTTGTAGAGGACACGTTTTACTATATATCTATGGTAATAAATGAGTTCATGAGAAAGTCCGCGTCGCTGCGACTTTCCGTTTGACCCATGAAACTGCTTCTCTCAATTTACTATTAAATTGATGAGTATCGGTGTGTGACTCACCCTCACATCCTGCCCGCCGGTTCCTTCAGACTGTCTGCCTGCCTCTGAGGCAGGCAGTCACTCAGGCAATCAGTCAGACAGTCATAAATCGCGGCGACTTCTGATTCATACTACATTTTTTACTAAAAACGAGAAGTCGCGGCGATGTGGACTTTCCCATCCTATGCAACAAATCGATAGATTTATATGATAGTTTTTAGAGATTTGGAGTGGTTTTTAAAAGATCTCCTCAAAAATCGGTTTCATACTTTTTTAAAGATCATTTTTTTTGTGGAAAACTAGCCTCGGGGTGTCTGCTTTTGATGGCTGAAAACCGCAACGTTCTGTCTTACGTTGTTATTGAGTTACCAAAAAAATAGCAACGTACACTGTATTTTGGCAACGGTAGTAGTAGTGGAAGCGGAATAAAAGAGGTGAATGACTTGTCGACAAAACTGCCTAAAAACGTCAGTTTACGGTATAGAACATAGACTGCACTCGATCACACCAATAAACGGTCCGTTTTTTGACCGTGCGCTCTTGAAACAGCCCGTTTACTGTGACGTTAACGGAACGTTTTTACGCCGTTTTCACAGCGTGAACAGGCCGTGTTTCAGATGACCGTAAATTGACCGTTAACGCACCGTTCCGCTTGAATTGGGTGGATAGAAACTTTATTTCAATTTCATAGTGTAACAACCTAGTCTTTCAAGAAGCAATATAGAATATTATACTTAAATAGTACGTAGAAAATGTTTGTCAGTTTTCATTCATGTTCTACACAACAGTATGTATAAATACAATAAGTGTTGTTTTTCTACATTCTGTTTTCAAGTGGGTAATAATTATAGTTAATTTCACATTTCAGTTTATCAACAACCGACGAAATGGTCTCAGTTGGACTATATTTAAATGATTTAAACTTTCATGATGGAACTTGTGAAATGTTAATATCAGGAACCGAACACTCACGTCACCTACAAAATGCCCTTAACAGAGTAATTATTTACTATTAATCATATCAGAATATAGTAAGGTGCGCGCAATTCAAAAATCGAGCACTATCTTAGTTTTCGGTTAGAAGCTACATATTTCGATAGCCCTGACTGAGCTGATTCCGAATATCACCTTTTTATTTGAATTCGATAAGTTTTCGGGGGTTAGATTTTGACGGAAAATAGTTTTTGATAAAATGCTCAAAGGCTAAGTTTCAAAACCAGGGAGGAGATAGGTTTGCTAGGATAGTGCTCGATTTTTGAATTGCGCGCACCTTACCTCTGGTTCATTTTAGAAAGAAAAACGATAGAGAGCCATTGCGTTTTCATCATTTTGTGAAGAAAACTTGCTCTATCTTCTCATATATTTAGTATCAAAAATCTCGAGTTTTCAGGTGAGGTATCGGGGCTGAAGCTATGGTGAATTTTTAACATCCATAATTCGCTAACTGTACAGCTGGTAATCTCAGAAATAGATGAAAACATAGGTTATAGATTACATTGAATCTCGTGCCAATGTTTTTTTTTCAGAACGAAATTCATTTGTGTTTTGAATACAGTAGATGTTCTGAAGTATTTTAGATCCCTTTTAAGTGAGTTATGAACGAAATAATAGTCAAAAATAGTTTATTCCTATTATAAGTTTTCGAATTTCATTCTTAAGTAAAACAAACATTGCCAAGAGGCTCAGTATGATCTGTAATCTATGTTTTCATGCATTTCTAAAATGGAAATAAATATTTCAATTGTTAATCTTTATGAGATCAAAATATCTATCAATTCAAAACTAATGTTTATCAGGAATCTTTCTAATATTAAGTAATAACATTTTCTTTATCTAAGCAACAATCATGGATAGTTCAATTACAAAATAACAAGGCAGAATTTCAAGAGTGGCGAAAGAAAAGTAAACGTTTACTTTATTCAATGATGCCCCAGCATATTGCTCAAATGTTAGAAGATGGTATTCAGCCAAATTCTATATGTGAGGTAAACATATGCATATTGTTAATATACTGATATATAATAAACTTATCCATGTATTAATTACCAATTGTGAAGATATCGATGTCTATTTATAGTCTCACAAATTGATAACAATTATGTTTTCTTACACAATGGATTTCAAAGAGCTAATATCAAAGTTAGAACCAATTGAAATAATTGAATGCATAAACGAAATAGTAAACACATTTGATCAATGTACAGATAAATTTGATGTGTTCAAGGTATGAGAAATGTTTAGCATACTCGGAACATTTTTTAAATATTTATTTGAATTATTCTGAAGGTCGAAACAAAAGCTGATTTATCGTATATGGTTGTTGGAGGATTACAAAACCGTGTATCGTTGACGAGACGAAAATCAAATTATGTTAGAATATTCTTTCTGATGCAAACATTCCTTTCAAATTAATTTTATCTTTATTTAGAGCACGGGATCGAATTGTAGTTCAATTGACACTAACTGTTCCAATGGACCAATTAATTTGAAAAATCCATTAGATTTGAATCAAGCTGAAGTGATGGCTGGACTAACTTTAGAATTACTACAAAAAGCACAAAATTTTATTAATCCAATGACGAATAAACCTTTTAATATCAAATTCGGTACGTATAATAAAAAGATAAATACAATAAGCGGGAGTTGACGTCTAATTTATTGTTAATTAATTAGGCTTTCATTCTGGTCCAGCTGTTGGCGGAATAGTGGGAAATACAAACTTTCAATATTGTCTATTTGGTGATACTGTTAATGTAGCCAGTCGTATAACAACTTCTGGAGAAGTAAATTTCTTACTGTTTTACTGCACAAAAAACTTTACTTTTAATTATCTCTTTTCGTTCTAGGCAGGACGAATTCATGTTAGTCCAACATCTTACGAATTGCTGAAACGTTCACCATATTATGAGTTAGTTTATCGAGGAAAAACAGAATTGAAGGTATAAATGTCGTCAAATTTGTATTCCATTTTTAGTGAAAATTTTCTAAAACCTTCCAAAAACTTTTGTAGTTAATAATGTAAGATTCATTTTCTCTTTAGAGTAAAGGCATATTCCAAACCTACTGGCTAGTTGGTACAAAAGCTAACTATTCAAATGATCTTAAACCAATCTTGCAATTTATAACATCCCCAGAACAGCATCTGTCTTCAGATATCACACATTTTTTACAAAATCATTCCGTCGGTGCTAGTATTGATCGATCGGATACATTAGAAAGTTTGGAAATAGAAACTGTTCAATCACCGGACGAACCAATTGATTCGATTGTAGATATCCAACTAAACGATGAGAGTTCGTCTACGTCGAGTTCCAGAGGTGAATCAATCAATTCAACTTCACCAGATGGAAAAGATATGTCATTTGATAATAGAACTAGTGCTCAATTAGATGAACAATTAATATTTCCGCGTCATATAACGCATCCACATGTAGTTAATAAAACATCTGTTTCATGTATTTCGGGAAAATGTCCATTTAGCTCATGTTTTCCATTCAACTAAGTACCATTAATTTAGCAGTATTTAAAATGATGTAATCTTTTTTTACTGTACTTTGTATACTAACAAATGTGAATGTCAACCAAGCAATAATTTAGCACAACATTCACTATGGGCATACAATCTATATGAAACATATTTGGTATTATATCTTGATTTGATTGGATGGACAAGGCTATAGAATTAATTCACTTCTAAATTTTCAAAATCTGTTTTTGTTAATAATTCGTCTGTCATTAAGTTTTCCTTCTTTCTATCATTAGCTGTATGAGCACCTAACCACTGTGCATGATGATCAGTTTACAATAATTGAAACTGAAATAATACTGTATTTGAAAAGAAATAACATCCGACTCCAGCTCGTAAACTTTTCAAACTTTCAAATATTTCGTTCTTGTAATATTGTAAAAAACATATCTTATGTTCGATTATTTATTTCCTTATTGATTTTTCGAATGAAATGAGTTCATGCATAGAAAAATAATCTGACTTCAAAAATTCCATTCGTTGTCTAACTATTAAACTATATAAAAAAGAGCACGAAGAGATAGAACCGCGAATGGTATGAAAGTCATTTTCAAAAATATTAGCTGAAGTGAAATACTGCTGATGTTTTTCTGTATAAAAGATTTATACATCGATAATAATGATATTGTTTTACAAATCTTGACAATGACAATTGCAACTATCACTTCAGAAAACATCACAATGCTTCTACTACAAATGGAATAGGTTAAAACAAGTAAAAAGGGCTCATTCTTAATTGAGATCACTATTTTTCCACTCACTCTCATTTACGCTTCCCGCCCTGTGATATTTCTTTGATAATAATTTTTATGTTACACATTTTATCAAAAAAGTGATCTCAATTAAGAAGCCTTAGTAAAAAGTTATGCTAACACTTATTAATAATAGTTCATCCTTTCTATAATCCATAATTATAATTCAGCATAATTATGACATACAATAAATGTGCATATTACATTAGAGTAATTCTTAGTTTTTCAAGCTCATCACTCTATATACGATTAGAGGTGTTTGCCACACCGCTGGCGTTGAAAATGTTTTTTGAAATTTCACGCCGCCGCCACCGTAGATGGAATCTGTTTTTGAAGTTTTCCGCCGCCGTCACTAATTCGAAACTTTTTTGAAGAAAATTTATTAAAAATAATAATTTCTTTTAAAACTTTTCACGCCACCGTCGATAAAGACGGAAAATTTGTTTTTAGTTTTTTGATGCCACCCCCGATAAAGCTTTCAATCTGACACGCCGCCGCCGATAAAGTAATCGGCTAACACTATACGATCCATTAGCGTTCACTCGTTCACAACAGATTTCAGATCCATACTATAGTCATCGTCAAACTTTGAATGAATAACACATTCACTGCAATTCGAAGATATATCTGATGCATATAGTGGAAATTTTAGTTTTCCATCTTTCACCTATGAAGTACAGATTAAAAAAAAGAACATGTTGAGATGTTGTTTTTTGGACAGACGCTGGAAATTGAGAGTATGAGACAGGTCATGATCGTTGATCTTGCAGACTGAGAAATCGCAAAAACACAAATGTATAAATGGTTTGCTAATACTTTGATCTTATCGGCCAATAATTTGAGGAAGAATGAAAAATTTTTTACGGTTTCTTCAGAAATCGATTATGACGGCCAAAAAAGAATCTTTCTGTTATTGATAAGTTCAAGATGGAACTTATTATCACGAATCGCTTTTTGTTTATAATATAGGACACGTGCAGAATACGTTCATGTCCAGTCTAGATTGAAATCACAAGGAATCGTTCTCACTTAAACAAAAGCAACAAAAGAACAGTATCGACGTGAGTTTTGTTTCAATTTATTGATATATTTTAAATAGTATCAACAGCAAATTATATCATATAATATTAAAAAGAAAGAGTTCAAGTTCTCCAAAAAGTCTGAAAAATTAATCTTGCTGAAATCTTAATATTCCAGTATAGTACCGGAATCAAAAAGGATTTCAATGATGCTTGTTTGTAGTGCAAACATTTCTTGTTAAAATTTGAGGTTTATCAGCTTTGACCGACACGCTTTAATCAAAAGTTATGCAGGTTTTACTAAGACACCTAAAATTTGTATCATACACTAGCGTCCGTAACTTAAAATCAATTCTCCTCTTCGTTGACCTTCGAGTTTCTCAAAACTCTCAATTTGTTTAGATGACAGAAAAATGCTGTCGGTTTGATAATACAGAACCGAATTTTCGAGTTTCATTTCACATAGGACGGAAATGAAGGATCCCTAAAAATTCGGAAAAGACTTTTAGGGGTTTCCGCAAAAAATGTTTCGGGTTAACAGGTAGCACAAAATTTCAAAAATCTGACTGTGTCCTACCAAAAGCCGTAGTGCTTTTCTACAAAATGGCAGCATTCCGAGCACTGTAGCAGCTAAACTGAGTAAGAATTTTCAAAAATCTTAGCTGCCACATCTTGATCGTTGCTGCACACCGGACATGAGTACGAAGAGTATTCGACAACCTCACAATAAACTTTTTCTAAATAAAAAAATAAAATATATTATTTACAATTTTGCTTCGAAATCTAGTAGAGAAAGCGGTAACTATCAATTTCTTTTCATTTTTGAGTTATATATAAGTTCACAGATCTATTACATATCATTGATATAAAAAAAGTAGCTAAAGTACAACGGCATGTCAATGCGTAAGTCTCATATGTGATGCGGGGGCAATCATAAGCTATAAATACGTTTTAACACTATTTTTTATTTATCTGCCATAAACTGAGACAACACAATACTTTTTAAAAAAAAGGTCATGAATAACAGAAGTCAAGAAAATTATTAAATATTATATTTGACCCAAACAAAACGACATAGAAATCTTAATTTTTCAAAGAAAAAAATTTATACACAATTAGTGTACAAATTATAAAGTTGTTTTAATATTGATTTAAACTATATGTTTAACAAATACAGACGTTGTCAATAAACTATAATCGTACCGTCTCCTAGCAAAGAGAAAAATAATAAATCTTTATTCATGTTGTTTCATCTTCTCTGATCATTGTTTCATGTTCATCGTCATTCAAATTAAGTTTATTTAATTTTTGTAAACCATGGAAAAATTCAGCTAAAATCATAGAAACAAATATATGATAAAAAATCAAATTTAGTGTCATAAAACTAATTAAATTTTAATCGTGGCATGTTTTAATCAAAACTCTCGCTCTCTCTCTCATCAAAACTTTTGACGTTTTAAAATAGATTCTTCAGACTTTATTTTGGCTGTTTGAATTGAACAATAGGATTCTTGATAAGAGAAAAGAATACGTACTTTTAGCATCTCTGAATGATACATTGCACAATGTTTCAATTGCGAGTTGACATGCTTCGTTTTGTGCTATGATTTTTGACGATGATAAACCAAAGAAAGTTTGATCAAATGCTTGTACTTTGACAATAAATATATTTTCATCATTTTTGATTAAATTTATTTTGCCTGACATACGAAATAATTCATTAAATAGTTGAACTGGCGTTTTAAGAGCAATCGATGTTGTTGTCAAATATTTACGATATTGTTCTTGAGGATCCGAACCACTAGTTGTTGACAATGTGTCACCATAAATACTACCACTGCCACTCTGAACATTGGATGATAATTCAGACAAAATAGCTTCTGTTGGTGGACGATAAGTTGGATATAACTGGATAAGAGCTTGCTAAAATGAGATAGAACGTGATAATAATTCATTTATACATCTATATCTTTTTTCTTACTTGTGCGGCCATATTTTTTGCAATTTGTTTTGATTTTCCTATTCCAATAGCTTGTATTTGATCAATTTGCAATTTGCAGTGATATCGTTTATGCTTTCGATTATTGGTTATTAATTCTTCTTCTTGAAATATGTATTTATCTGGCGTAATATCTGGGCGAAGTTCATGAATAGTGGCTGCTGGATATTTACCAGCTTCATAAAATACCATATTCAACAATTTTGATCGTTTAGTGCTTAAACCAGCGTTGGCTAACGAATCTGCCGATAAAGTTGATGGTTTCTTACGTTTACGTTGGGCACGTTGAGTAGCACCAGCTGTCATATTTGAAGGTAGTATGACCTTTGGTAGCATTTGTTTCTGCGATGGTATTTCAGAAGAAACGAGGGGCACAAATGATTGAGGAAATGGCATGGTAAAACGAGTATCAATATTTTGTTGCTGCTGCGCCATTTCTTAGATAAAACTTTATCTGAAACGTATAAAAGAATAATAAATTTTTTGATTTTATTCACTAGATGATGACATCTAGCAAAAAAGATAAAGTTTACTAGATGTGATTATAAAGTTGGATATTGTGACTTCCTTTCTCTAGCATAGCAGCTTTTTATCATTAGTCGAACAGTGGGAAAATGTGAACTAAAAAATTCGCTCAAATTAACTTTTTTAACAACTTCCATTCATTTGATCACTGAAAACAATCGTGTTCTCAACCAACTCGCTCTGTCACTCTGAAAGCCATCCCCATCCCGTTCTCGTTGAGAAATTACCTTCCGTTAGGTCACTTTTCAAAATCGCTTCGTGTGGCAGTATTGTTCATCATCAGTGTTGATTTTAAACTCCCTTCTCACTGAACGTCAGATTGTACTTCAGTACAGCTATAATAATACACAAAAATTATCGAAAATTTCGTGTTTATATTCTACAGAACGGACAACAACAAAAAGTTCCGATTCGTGTGAATCGCGTCTCATCGGTTTTTAGACTGTTGAAATATGTATCTAGAGACCAGTACCCCGAACAAAACAGCTTTTCCTCCACGGAGCACTCTCGCTCCCTCATACATCTCTGTTCCCTTAGCCAAAATTACCGAAAAAGTTTTTTGGAAATTGTTTTCTTTTTTCCTAAATAGAAATTCTGTTTTTCGGCGACAGAAAATAAACAAAAAATAATCGTTTTCGAAAACAAAAAGTTAGACGCTCGCGTAACATACCACGACTGCTTATCACTGTTTTTAATGGCACGGTGGGTAAGCGGACTTTCCACTCTAATCCACTATCGAGAACTAAAATTTCATTGTAATTTCCACGGCGATTTTAAAATCTCCACCCTATTTCGAAATGTTAAACTCGGTTAAAACGATTCTCACAATCAGATGCTGCCAACTTTTCCACTGTGACACTGATTCCACAGTAGAAAAATCTACTATAACAAAAAATTTCTATTAAAACCACCGCTGCCTGTTGTGCCCTTTCAATGCTGCTTACATGTCTCGGACAAACCAAAAATTAATTTTGTGTATCAAGTGGCAATAAATGCAAACAACGGTAAGGTGATGTCAGACACGATTGAAAAAGTAGTACATAGGTGTATAAATAAAATCGGTGCTATAATATTAAGAATTCTTTCTTGAAGTCTATCTTCTTGCTGGCCGAGAAAATAATAATAGCTTTTCATGCAACAGAACGGCATAGCAATATATTTTAGATTACATATTACAGTACTCGACAACGATAAACAAAGTGGAAAGTTTACTCCTTTGTGAACTATACAAAAATAACGTTGGATAGAAATCTAAATTCGAAACCAAAAAGGATTTTCTATCGTTTAACTCCAATCTAATTATGTTAAAGGAAGAGGGTAACAATCAATTTACAAATGTGTCAGATCTCTATTCGATACTTCATTAATATTTGAAAGTTCTATTCTGCGATCTGTCTTGCATTTTTATTCCTCTGACTTTAGTCAAAGGTATTTTCTCTTGATATCAATCTGGGGTATTATAAAATACTTTTGCGTTCTGTCTGTCCGCAAAACACGGAAATGGAAAACATGAAGTAACAGTTCATAGGCTGATCAATCAGCACATGAGCAACACCTTAATGCACTTAGAAAAAAATGCCATATGGAAATTAAGAGAAATAAAACAGAAGTAAAACTCCGAACAAACAAAACGGTTATAATACCAAACACTTTCTCTAAGCTACTTAATAGATGTCGTACGAAACCGGAAATCTATATTGAAGGAACTATTAAGCAACGAAGTTTACGTGGAGCTAAAGGTACAAGATAAACTATAGGAACGCTCTTGTAACAGGAACTATTTTGAGCTTCATTTTATTTTCCTTTATTAAATAAAATTGTTTCGACGTTTCGAACAACACAGTGTTCGTTTTCAAGAATTCAAACGCGGACAATACAATAGTAAAATAATCATAAAAATGTATTAGGCAAAATAAGTCATACATATATACACAAGGTAACGCTTGTCTGCACTCGCTTGCTCCCTTGATTTTACGAACTTATATCTGCGAACGATCTTCCATGACTTTGAAGCATACCATCGATATGTCGAAATTTAAAATCGAACTAGAGTCGATGAAAATGACATTTTTGGTTAGAGGATAGTCGTTTGTATATCTATTCACCAAAACTGGCTCGGGGTACTACCAGTACGGAAGCAAAACATTTTTTAGAAAGTTTTTAAGAAAACAAACAAAAAGAAGCAACAAAAATACTGTGAGGGCCAATTGAAATCCCCCCACTGTTTCTTTTTTGTTTTTGTTACTATAATTCTTTTGTTCTTTAATCTACTATATATAGCGAAAAAGCACGAAAGGCGCAGCATCTTTTGGTCTAATAGATTGACCATCAAATACAGTTTGAGGTACAAAAGATACATTAGAAGAAAAAGTAGCCTTTTTTTTACTACAATGTACATCGACATCTAGATTATAATGAAAGAATTTTTAAAAACAATGCTAAAGTCGATCATAATATTCGTTAGTTCCATATAGCAAGCTACACTTTCGATAAGCATTTTTAATTTCTTTTTTAGATAACGAATAGGAATCTTCTGAAAGTAGTAAGCGTATACCAGTTACAGTTAATGGACGTCGATTTCGAATAAATTCTTTAAATGAGTGCTACAGTGGATTATTCAATGGTGACAGATATTTTGCTGACGCTGTTGGCATATGGAGAATTTGTTTAAATGATTCACATTTACCAGTTCGTAATGCTTGAATCATAGCCACATTGGTCACTGCGGCTACTGCATTATATGGAAAAAACACATCCATCCAGTTTACTAATATCAATACAATGTTGTCACCATATCACACTATCAATAGAAGAACTGCAAATGACGTGTATTTAGTGCGTAATGGCTCAGAGAAGCAATCACATATGGGTATTGATATAAGTTTATGCTGTCAGAATACAAGCGGAAAAATATTCCATTATGGTATTCTACACTAAATAATCGAAAAACACAATTTCTAGTTTATAGCAATGCGATCTGGAAAATCGTGGAGCTTTTTCTGATATTTATAAAATACTCGTAGGTTTTCTGACTTTTTAGAAATTGGCGATTTTCTATTTTCTATAAATTGGCTTTTCATTTTATTCAGAAAATCGCCATAGAATTTCCAAAAATATCAAAATTCGGCGTCGATGTTTTAAAACTGAGAATTTGAGTTTGATTTTCTACAATTCTAGAAAATCGATCGGCTTTCTATAAATAATTATCAAGATTCTAGAAATTCGAAATCGATTTTCCAGTTTTCTTGAAAATCAAGAGTCGGAAATTCGAAGATGATACGGTACACGTGGATCAGTAATATATTGTCCCATTCTGAGGAAAAGATCTGATATCAACTTCTGTTTCACTCGACTGTAACTTTCTTTTGCCAACATTCGATATTGGTGAGTCTCCGATGATACAATGTTTCATTTTGTTAACTTTTAAATTATTGTTTGTCCGATGAAACATTCTGTCGATTAAGAAGTCGAAGACAGTGAGTAGGTAAATTAGATGAATAGTTTGGTGATTCCTTTTTACTGATTAGAAGAACGAAGAAGATGTGATAATTGTTGTTACTGTTTTTGTGAAGAAGTAGACAGAAAGGTTGTTTGTTCACTAAGTTGTTTAATAGTAGAAGACAGATTGTCAAGAAGATTTTGAAGTGAATTTTGCTGTTGGGAATGAATGGACGATTGCTCTACTACTTTTGTAATGATTTGATGGTTGTTTTTGGAGATCGATTACTGTTTCGTGGTAGGCAATTTTTTGTTGAAGAAGAGTTACTTGAAATTCGAGTTGTTTAATTTTTTCTTCGCTCATGATTGTGTTGCGAGAAGAAAAACAACAAATCTCTTTATAATTTGTTTTTATTTTAAGCAGTGTATTATCATAAGTTTAACGTCTTTTGCCTGAATTGAACAGGCGCGGACTTGGACTCAGAGGTGCAACCTTTATCGGTACCGGTGCGAATTATAACGTCGACCGGTATACCGGCATTAGTATAAAGTATAATCGATCGGCCGATATTGCTGGTATTTTGCGGTATGATGCGGTTTTTTTCAAAAACACCGTGTAAATTCAATTCATCTGTGACATATTTCTTCCACTAAAATTTCATCCCGATTACTAAAGCTTTCTCGGCTTACATAAACTTCTTAATTTAAAAGATTGAATTGGATTGTTGTTTTCGTAAAAAGAAGCGTGGAAAAAATCAGCTATACATAATCAAAGTGAAACGATTAATCTCGGTCTCTTGACTGTAGGTTAGCAGTGCTTCAGTCCATAATGGGTAGGCAAACTGCAGCATTTTATCAAAAGCCAAAGTATTTTGAATTTCTAAATGTGAGATGCACATCTACCGTCAAAGCTGCTCTTCGTTCTATGAAGATCAGACTTTATACATGCGGCGGTGTAGTGTTAACTTCGCTAATTTCACGCGAACTTGACTACAGAACTTTTCTCGCCAACCGTTTCATTATTTCACTCGCAGTCTCCAATAGGTTTTTTGGTCCGTGGTAACTGGTCGTTCGTCGCGCAGTTTCAAGACTCCTGCTCTATCCATTCGCCACACTTTAGTGGGATGGAACTCGAACAGAGCTCAAACATAGTTCGAACAGAGGTTAAGCTATTGGTATATGCGATCTTTTATAAATGAGCCAAGATAAATTTAAATAAGCTTTGTCACGCACACTTCTCTATCAATGGTACATCTGATCAAGATGGTTCTTTCACACTTTATGTTCATTATACTGTGTAGATGTACCCTTTCATCAGACAAAAATTCAGCTGATCTGTATTTGTTGACCTATTTTGGAAATAGCATATTTTTCCGTATGTTTTGAAACCTATTTATCGTATGACGGTAATTTCGCAGTTCGACAGAAACACTTTTCGACACTGTCGAATTTCGAGCGAGAAATTTTCGACA